TATTATTATTATAAAGCATGATTTAAATCACTAGTCAGCAAGACTCAATTTAAATCATGATTTTTAAATGTAAAGACTCACTCTTGCTGGTAGTTATCTTTAATATTTGCAACTAGATGAAAATTTCACATTTAGAAAAATAACCTGTCAGATTAGTAAAACAGCTATAAGCTATACCAGAACTGATTTTAGTTTAATAAGTTAATCACTCATATTTGGAGAACTACTTAAATTGTCTTATTTAACTAAAATAATGACATTATATAGGATACACATTCTTGTATTAGCTTAAACATCAATGTTTATTAAGTGGTCTCTTATTAAAAAGCTAACTATTTATCTGCCAAACAATCTTCAAACCTAGCATTTAAGGTACAGTAGAAAGCCCTCTATCCATGGGATCTGCTGATTCCATTATCCACTGCCTGAAAATACTAAATACCCCCCAACCGAAATACTGTACATATTTACAGTATATGTACAGTACTGTATTTCCAAGATATATTTACCAGAACTGGCCACTAGAGGGATACAGAAACCATGCAATGTACAGTACAGTACTGTATTTGCTACATTCATGTTTTTCCATGTCTGCAGCGAGGCTTGGAACCAATCCCCTGTGGATATCGCAGTCCTGCTGTAAAGTGTTCATTGTTTGTTCACAGATTTGCAGAACAATACTGTAATAGAATTTAGGCCTTTTCCTGAACTTTGTTTATTTTATACCATCTTTACTGTGAAAAAGTGCATATTATCTCAGATTGGAGAACTTGGATTAATTAAATAAATTTACAAAAATGTAACTATTGCATTATTACACAGCGTCATGCTACATAACTAAGCTCTATTTTATGCTGAAAAACCTTTGAACTGTAATGTATCTTAAACAAAAAACTATATGTAGATAGATTTTTCCTCCAAAAGCATTTCATTCAAATAAATCGGATTTTTTTAAAATCAACATTTAAAATTTTTCCTTTCAAATTTAAATCATCAGTTTTAATCCACCCTACTCAAAATAGTGTAAGAACATTTTGGTCTACCAGGACAAACACTGCTGGCACAAGAGTCACAGCTCTTTAACAAAACCAATTTAAATGGAAATTCCAGTATGCAACTGTCAAACAAGAATCAATCAGTAAGTGATTATTTAAGACTCATCTGAGATTGATTTTTTTCTTCCATGTAGGCATGTTAGCTTAGTTCTCTCACCCCGTGCTGAAAGTTTGTGTTCTCATCAGCAACTGCTGTGATGGGAGGTCACTGTGTCTACCTTGCACAGATCCAAGATTTGAATAGGCTATAGGTCTATTCAAAAGAGTCTCCTCTAATTGAAATGTCATATGTGGTGGAACAGGTGGAGCAGATGTACTACCCACATTCTTCTTGTCCCCAACAGAATGTCAGAAAGAAGCACCACATAAACAGCATTGTACCTTTATAGCCCCTTCCTAACATTGCACTGAATGCATACAGATGATCAAGGTAACAAGATAGTACGAAAAGGCAGATTATCAATTCATAATTTCCTTTTTGAACATTTAGAAAAAGTTAATTCACACCTAATCATCACCATTCATAATAATTATAAACTTCTGTATACAGTACTAGTACACCAGAGACGTGGTGACTAAACCACAGAAGCCTCTGTACTGCAGGGTGAAAAGACCAGCAGTCGTAAAATCGAATCCACGCAACGGAGTGAGCTCCCATTGCTTTGTCCCAGCTCCTCGCCAACCTAGCAGTTCGAAAGCATGCAAATGCGAGTAGATAAATAGGTACCACCTCAGTGGGAAGGTAAAACGGTGTTCCCTAGTCACACTGGCCATGTGACAACGGAAATTGTCTTAGGACAAACGCTGGCTCTACGGCTTGAAAACGGGATGAGCACTGCCCCCTAGAGTCGGACACGACTGGACTAAAAATGTCAAGGGGAACTTTTACTTTGTATAGTAGTAATCAGAGCATAAATGGCCAGATCTAATCAAAACTGCAGAAGCAAGAACTGAGAAGATCATTCAGTTTAAGCACTTTCCCAAGACTATAAAATGCAAGTTTATTACCTGAAAGTTATGAACAATCCTATCAACTACAGTCAACAACAAAAGCTTAACAATAAGATGTCTAAACTTCAGCCTCATTAGCAATTAGCCACCAAGTGACAAGGTTACCAGTTCTCCATTTAACAAGGAGTAATATGCCGACAAAGGTCCTCATAGTCCAAGCTATGGTTTTTCCACTAGTAATGTATGGAAATGAGAGCTAGACCATAAAGAAGGCTGACTGCCGAAGAATTGATGCTTTTGAATTGTGGTGCTGAAGGAGACTCTTGAGAGTCCCTTGGATGGCAAGGAGATCAAACCTATCCGTTCTGAAGGAAATCAACCCTGAGTGCTCACTGGAACGACAGATCCTGAAGCTGAGGCTCCAGTACTTTAGCCATCTCATGAGAAGGGAAGACTCCCTGGAAAAGACCCTGAAGTTGGGAAAATGTGAAGGCAAGAGGAGAAGGGGACAACAGAGGATGAGATGGTTGGACAGTGTCATCAAAGCTACCAACATGAATTTGACCAAACTCTGGGAGTCAGTGGAAGAGGAGGGCCTGGCATGCTCTGGTCCATGGAGTCATGAAGAGTCGGACACGACTTAACGACTAAACAACAAGCCAATTTTTCAGCAAGATCCAGTTACTGTACTTGGTCACTATTTCTGGCAACACAAGCCTGTTCCCAGTGACACTTTCCTGAGTTATGATGTAGACAGTGGTTACTCAATAGCAGACTTTAAGATATCATACACTCTAAGTTCCAGATATGTCAAAATGCAAATGCTTCTACACATGGTTCTAAGCAAGGCGAAGTCAAGGTAAGAACTGTTACTGAGTATCAGTGAAGCCATCACAATATAGACATCCCCATTTCTATTGTACTGCCAAGACCAGGGAGACTAGAGCCCAGCTCAACTCAAGCCAGAAGCTTTCTTATTTTCACCTTTTGCAGAAAAAACTATACCCCTTCTGTCTTTAGAGCTGGTATTTTTAAATTGGATATTTAATTCTAAACATTCTTTCTCTCCTCTGCAAATTATCTGTACAATACATGGAGGAAAAACCTTGTAAGAAAACTGAAATCGTGCTAACATTATACAGGGGGGAAAGATGAAGCATTTGTAAGAGTTTAGAAAGTCCATATGAAACGTCCAAGATCCAAATTACAAAGTAGAAACATTGGCAGTGTGTTTCCTTTCATGAGAAGGAACACTTCTTGGCATGCTATAGACAGAAGAAGAAGAAGAAAAAAGAGGGGCTGAATTCTACCAGCTATCCTGTCCTCTTCTAGCTTTCAATACCACTCCCTTACTATTCCACAAAGTCCATCATTTATGCAGAACTGGTAGGAAGGGAGGTATAAGGATCTGCAGAAGGCAATCAATGATTATCACTTTTGGTCAACTGGATGAGAAGCCTTCTGCAAACAGAAGGAATCTTTTAGTCTAAGGATATACATTCAATATCCAGCTGAGAAGATACCTTCATACAATTAACATCACATTATTATTTATTAGGAAACAGATGTCCATGATAAGACTGCATTTTGACTACTGTGGGAGTAATAAAATACTGTAATAAAGTACATGAGGTATGCTAAGTATAGGATTGTAAGTATAACAACAACTGAACTCAAAGATGAATGCATTTCCATGAATGCTTGGTGCATTGTCTCTTTTTCACTGCTGTGGATTAAACATTTATGTTTCAAAGGCATCTTCAGAGACTGATGATGGCTATCATATCACCTCTCAGCTTTCTCTTCTCCAGACTAAATGTGCCAAGTTCCTTCAACCTACAGATCCAGATACCCATACTTCCTGCTTATGAGTCCACTTATAATCAGAGCACATCAGTTGAGAGTCACTAATGGCCTACTAATAATTCAAAGGGAAGAGATGAAAAATATGAGGTAGAAGTTAACTAGTTTAGTAAACCTGATCGAACCTCTGAATTAAGCATCTAAAAACGGACCTTACTACTTTCATGTTAACAACAGCCCTAAGGGGATGAGCTGAGAAATGGAAATAATTAAGCATCTAAAAACGGACCTTACTACAGTACTTTCATGTTAACAACAGTCCTAAGGGGATGAGCTGAGAAATGGAAAAAGAAATGGCATTAGAGGGCCATTTCAGCAAGTGAAACATGGCCACAGTGATTTTGGAAAACGCTCTGTGCACCACTTGCAAAGCACCATCCTTTTGGGAGTAGGGGAGAGCATCCAGCAAGGAGAGATGAGCCTGGCCTAGGAGACTGAAACGCCTGCTTTAAAAAAAAAATCTCCTGATTCTGACATTTTAGGGAGGCATCTCGCACCTGTGCCTGCCTTCCTTCCTTCCTCTCGCCTGCTGTTTTAACCATCCGGATTGCATCTCAGGGTCCTCATTTAACAGTGTAAATTCTACAAGTACTGGTATTAATATCATTCATGGGGAGTCCGAGGATTGCGCAGCTCGTTTTATCCTGTCAAGAAAGGTGCGGGGAGGACACGAGAGTCGTGAGGAGGATAAAAAAAAAAAGCCCCCCCCCTTGACTTTCGGGGCTCACCAAAAGAAGGTGTTGGTCCCGTCGTCGTACACCTCGGACTCGGTGCTGCGCCGGTCTCCCTGAGGGGCGGCGGAGGCTGCGACCGGCCGTGGACCTCCTCCGCCCTGAACCGGCAACCCCTCTTCACGGAGCATAGGGGCGCCGTTGGGCTGCAGAGGCTGCGGTTCCTCCGCCTCTGCCGCCGCTTCCTCCAGCGCAGCCTTGCCGGGGGGCCCTCCATGACTCCTCCGCTCGCTACGCCTCATGGCGACAATTGGGGGGGAGGGAGAGGAGGAGGAGGCAAACGGACGGCGCTTCAAGCGACGCCCCGCGCGCACCAGGCGGACCCCTCCTCCATGCCCATCGGGCAGCCCGAGAGGCGAGCGGCGCCAGCAGCAGCAGCAGCCGCCTCACACTGGCCAGAAAGCCCCGCCCCGCCGCTCGCGCCTGACCTCACGTAGGCCGCAGCTGATGGGCGGGCCTGCGCGCGCAGGAGGGCCGGAGTGGGCGTGGGGACGGCAAACGGCACATGCGCGCGGAGGAGGAGTCCCCGTTTCTTGGCTCTGCCTCGCAACCGTTGAGTCGCGTGTTGCGGGGTTGGAGGCTGTGTTGAACCGAAAACAGGGCTTAATCCTTGCGCAAACAAAGCTGGTTTTATGTGGAAAGAAGGAGGTCACCCTGACTCGAGACCGGAACGTGAAACGGCAGCCTTAGTTAAACGAAGGCGAGGGCGGGGCGACACGGGTCGGGACACAAGTGTCGGGCCGAGTAACAGTTCGTGGAGGCCCTTCAGATCGGAGCGGCCAACGTGAGGGACTTCGGCCTAGTTTCTGAATTTCAGTTTAAGTGTTTCAGAGCACTCAGACGACAACAAGAGGGGTCTGTTCTTTCCTCAAGTCAAGAGTATCCTGGAAAGGGATGGTGAGGGGAGAGAAAAGGAAAAGGGGTGCTGCCACTCCTTTTTGATTACCGTTATGAGCTGAGGTACGCTCATAGGACATTGCACCAAACTTTGGTGAAGGGCGCAGATTTATTGCCTGTCTAGTATAGTGCAACCCTATGTATATTTCCTCATAAGTGTGCACTATTGTGTTTAGGGGGGCTTAAACTTAAGGGGAAACTACAGTACATAGCAGGGGAAACCTGGCTTGGTTCAGAATTTTTCAAATCAAGTCCCTAGCGTTTTCTGCAGGTGAAATTGCAGCCATCCACAAGGGCAGAGGTGGAAAGCTGTAGTGAGGGAAAGAGCCATCTTTGCAGCTTGGCAGTTTTCACTCCTTCAGCTTACTTGTTTCTCATTCACACACACACTCTCAAGTGACATAGTACTTAACTGGCACAGAGTTAACTTTGGCAAGAATAGTGAAAAAAACTGCTTGGAAAAGGGGAAAGGACAGGCACTCAGAATATATGAAGATTCTCAGTCATCCAGGTGAGCTTAACTGGAAGTTGAATCATGACAACTGGACTTACTGTATTTCTTTTTTTAATTATTAGGCACAGAGTTAACTTTGGCAAGCATAGTGAAAAAAACTGCTTGGAAAAGGGGAAAGGACAGGCACTCAGAATATATGAAGATTCTCAGTCATCCAGGTGAGCTTAACTGGAAGTTGAATCATGACAACTGGACTTACTGTATTTCTTTTTTTAAATTATTTTTTATTTTTAAAAAAACTAGGGATAAGGTGAGTACAAAAGGTAGAGGGGGATATGGGGGGGGGGAAGAGGGGGAAGGAGAACACAAAATCCAATCTGTTCACGTTGCGATACCAAGTCGACTTTTCACCTTTCTACAATTTGATAGCGCTCAAGGTTTCAACTTACAGTTAAATCTTAGTTTAATTCTATGTTATTCAAGCGCTATCTGGTGACTCAAGCCATTTATATAATCCCATTGCTCAGTTGCCTTTTTGTATTGGACAGTCTTTCAACACTTCTGATAGAATATCCATTTCTGCCATTTCCCATATCTTCTCAATGAGTTCTTGTTTCGGTATCTCTGATTTCTTCCAGTTCTTAGCATAAAGAATTCTGGCTGCAGTGATTATATACAGTGGTGCCTCACTTAATGAGCACACTGTATAACGACGAAATCGCGTAGCGATCCGTTTTTTGGAACGCTAATGCGATCGCTCAACGTTGTTTAGATAGGGTGAAAATCGCTTTACGAAGATCTGTAAGCGTTTCGCTTACCGATCTTCCCAAAACGAAGCCCCAACGATCAGCTGTTTGGCGGACAAAATGGCCGCCGGAAGCTCCGTAATGGCCGCACGCAGCGTTTTCGCGCCCTCCCCTCGCTTAACGAGGGCGCGAAAATGGCTGCCGGCCATAGGAAACCTCGCTGAACGGTGAGTAAAGGAGCCTTTTGGAACGCAT